TTTGCCATGGGGGTTTTTCCCCCGGACTCTTTGGGTTTTCACCTTTTGAACTTCTCTATGGTAGACAGGCCAGAGGCCCATTGTCCGTCCTTCATGATTTATGACTAATGAGGAGATGATGCTGAGGTTCAGTCTTCTTACCAGTTTCTCCTTGACCTTAGACCCAAAACTTGAGGAGACCTCTGACATATTTTTCGAAAAACCTAAGCTTGTCATGGACCAGTACAAAACCTATTTTGATTCCAAAAGCCCAGAGGAGAAGTTTTAAAGTAGGGGATGAAGTTCTTGTACTTTTGCCTATCAATCAAATAAATTATTAGTAGCATGGAAAGTTCCATATAAAGTTTTTAAAAATTTGTGGGAAAGTTGACTACCTCATAGAAGTCAAGGGGAAACCTAAGCTTTATCATACAACATCCTTAAGAAATATTACCGAAGAAATTCGGTTAACTACCTTAAAAAACTTTGGCTTAGTTTTCCACACGAACTTGAATAAGACAACTGAAGAATGTAAGGTGTGTGCAATTGACACCTCTAACTTAACTATGATGAAGAACTACATGACTTGGTGACTCTTGAACACTCGGGCGCAACCAACATTAATATTAATGAATCTTTGGATGATCATAAGAGACATGAACTACTTCAATGTGCGGGTAACTTTTCAGACGTCTTTACTGATATTCCGGTCCAAACATAATCACTAGACTCACAGCTCCCAGCACTACTGTAAGTACATGCCTGCCTTGTATTCTAGTGGATTTATTGGTTGAAAGCTTCACTTTTGACCAATAATAAATTTAGTCCTTTCAGTCCTGCTCAAAAGTTGACTGTTGAATAATCACCACATCTTTTAAGTATTGTACTAATCATGGAGAGTGATTTCTTAAGCAGTGGGTAACCTGTCTATCTTTACAGCTTGGATGACAGAGAGGGTCACCTGCCAATCAATGAGTAAAAATGATGGAGATGGACCCAACGTCCTGAAACTTCCCCCTTTGAATTTAATTACCTGTGCACCTGTATGAAATTGCAGGGCGTAACCCCTCATCATTGCAGCGGTAAAGAACCTGCTTTCCTGTCATCGATAGAATACTCACGGCTATACTGTGAAGAACTAGCCAGTGGGGTTTTAACCAACACCTGCGAACCCCCCCCCCCCCATCATCAGCAGCGGCTACATTTCAACAACACGCAGTGTCACCCAACACCAGACACCCAAGTTTTATTATATTAGTGTTGAATTCAGATATCATTTATATTTTTCATTTTTAATTTTCTTTAATGTAAAAATCAATATTTCTTTATTTAATGTTTTAATTTTTTATATTTTCTAAAAATAAAGTGTTTATGTTATCAGTTTTTATTCTTTTTCTATACATTAATTTTCCTGAGGAGGAGCCAGCCTTAGTAATACTGACTGAAGTTGTTACAGGGCTGAGTAAGCCTTCACAGAGAGAAATCAGAATGGGGGCACGTCACAAGCGGTGTTCCTCGGGGGTCAGGTTCGGCCTTTTGTTGTTCACAATTTACATAAACGACATGGATGAGGTAATAAATTAGCGACATAAGCAAATTTGCTGACGAAAAACCAAAATAGGCCGTCCAATTCATTCTAATGACACTAGAGCACTCCACGATGATTTGAATAGACTGATGCAATGGTTGGAAAAGTGGCAGATGCAGTTTAATTAATACTGACAAATGCAAAGTTCTAAATGTTAGACAGTTAAAAAACCATGCCACTTTATAACTAAATAATGTAGATCTTAATACTACTGTTTTGCGAAAAGGATTAGGAGTTAGGGGTTAGCAGTAATCAAAAACCCAAGACAACATGCTTTAGTGTTCGCAATAAAGCTATCAGAATTCTTGGCTTCATATTAGAAGTATAAATAATAGAAGTCCTCAGGTTTTTTCTTCAACTCTACATATCCTTGGTAGGCCTCATTTAGACATGCTGCTCAGTTCTGGTCACCGTATTACAGAAGGATTAAATGCTCCTATAAAACTACAGAGGAGGATGACGAAGTGATCCCATATATCAAAATCTTCCTATGAGGATAGACGAGGGTCCTGAATCTGCCCTCTCTCGAAAGGCGTAGAATTAGGGGGGATATGATCGAGGTGTATAAATGGAAAACAGGAATAAATAAAGGGGATGTAAATAGCATGCTGAAAATTTCCAGCCAAGACAGACTCGCAGCAATGGTTTCAAGTTGGAAAAATTCAGATTCAGGAAAGATATAGAAAGCACTGGTTTGGTAATAGAGTTTTGATTAGAGGAAAACAAACTCCCAGTACAGTTATTCAGGCTAAAACGTTGTGTATTTTAATTAAAAAAAGGTTAGATAAATACGTGAGTGGGTGTGAGTTGGACCTGACTAGCTTGTGCTGCCGGGTCTGGGGCAGGGGCTCCATCCTTGAGTATAGGTGACCAACTGGGTGGGTCATTGGGCTTATCCGGGGGGGGGTCATTGGTCTAAAACGGGGGGGCATGGACCTGCTCCGCATGGGCCAGTAGGCCTGTTGCAGTGTTCCTTCTTTCTTATGTTCTTATGTTCTTATGATCTTCTCTTCTAAATGAAATTATTTTTCCCCCATCTTCCCATCTCCCCATCTACTAACTCCCCATTCTATTTTAACTGTCAAATCTATTTTAAACCCCAGGCTTTCTCAACCTATTTATCTCATTCATAACTTTTTATATTCGCAACAAAATTTGTTGACAGCATCCCTCCCACTCTTTTCATTTTCTCTCCTGTTACACTCTCTCACCACTCTCTTCACCTCTCTTTTACTTTCTCATGTCCTTCTGCTTCGTTTAAAAACCCTCATAAAAGAAATTTTTTTCTCCTTTATCACAGCCTTTACCTCATCATTCCACCAGTCACTCCTCTTTTCCTACTGCACCCCCCGTTCTCTACCACAAAACTTCTGCCCAGCATTCTAACAATGCATTTTTAAAATACCCCACCCCTCATAAACCCCCGACTCTACCTATACTTTCCCTGCCCCACCTTTCTCCCAAGTAGTTGCTTATGTCTTACTTAACTTCCTGCTCCCTTAATTTATAAACTTTCACCTGTCTTCTACTTGCTGTTGCCCCTTTTCCTTTTGTCCCATCTACCTTTTACTCTATCTTTAGTTTCAACTAAATTATGAATTGATATATCTATTGCCTCTCTTTAAACATGAACATCCTGAAGTCTACCCATCAACCTTGTAAACCACCAATAAAATAGTCTAACAAGCTTTCTTTCATTATGTGCTTTATCATATTTTATTTAAATTTATTTATTCTATTTATCTTAAAATATGTATTACTTATTACCAAACCTCTTGCTACATATAGTTCAATTTAAAGGGCACTTTTCATTTACCCCCGGTACTTTAAACTTACTACTCCCTCCACAACACTTTTCCCAATTTTACATTTAACTCCCCTTCCACAAGTACTCTATCACTTGGTTTTAAACTTCCCTAAGCACTCACTCAACATCTCCCAAAATCCCCTTTCGTCTACTCTAAAACCTCTCTTTTCTCCAGGTGCATAAACACTTACAATAACCCCTTTTCACTCCGCCCTTATTTTACTCCCCAAAATCCTTGATTCATACATTATATTCCCTCTTTCCCTTCCAAAACTGATCCTTCAACATATTGCTACTCCTTTCAAAGCTCTAACTCTACTGGAAACACCTGACCTAATGCAGTTTATATCTTCCCACTGAAACTCTCCCACCTCCTTCAGCTTTGTTTCACTTAGAGACATGACGTCCAGCTTCTTTTCATTCTTAACATCCATAACCATCTCTTTCTTAACATTCGCACTACTTCCACGCACATTCAAACATCTCAACTTAAAGATATCGTTATTGTTATTTCTAGTAGTCTATACGGGAGAAGGGTTACTACCCATTGCTCCAGGCATTTTAGTTACCTTTACAACACGCATAACTTACGGAAAAAAAATCTCATTCCACTACCTCATGGAGACGAAAGGAAATAATAAGAACAAGAACAATTAAAAAAAAAGGGAAAATTCAGATGAGTGTTTATATGTGAACGTGTACATGCAAGTGTGGTGTAATCTAAATGTAAGTAAAAGTAGCAAGATATGTCTATTATCCTGTGAGTTTATGAGACAGAAAAAAGATACTAGCAATTCTACTGTCGTGTAAAACAAAAACGGGTTTCCGTCTCACACTCATTTAGCTGGACAGTAATACCTCCCTGAATGGTTGCTGTCCTACCAACCTACTATTATTATTATTATTATTATTATTAAGAGTAAGCGTAAACCCACAAGGATCACACGTGTTATTCTTGCCTGGTGGCGAGCAGGTTATTACAGCCTTAACGACACTCGATAGTTGAAAGTTTGTAAACCAGTTAACTCATCACATACAGAGGAAGAAAACGGCGGTTAGTAGTAAAAGAGAATTTTAATTCTTGAATTAATATTTATGTAGCTCACCTGCCTTGATAATCCCAGATCATAGGTGAGGTGGAGGCGAAGGTGAGGAGTAATGATGGGTCCTGCGGGAGAAACACGTAGCTTCCACAGCCAGGAGCACCCACCTGACGCTCTCAAAATCCTTTGGCATCTTCAAGTGTATTATCTTTTTTATAAGAAGGTGAGAAAAACTAGTTTAAAACTTATAGTATATAAAGATATGAAAACAAACACACACACACACACACACACACCACACACACACACACACACCACACACACACACCACACAACCCCACACACTGTATTGGGCCCACACTGTACAACAGCCTATTAATGTAAATACTTAATTAGGTAATCATATGTCAGCACCTCACGCATGAATGCATACATACATGCAAAGAAGTTCAGTCCGAAAAAACATAACAAGACACAATGAGAAAAAAATATGATACAATTCACTTTCGTGGAATGATTGGTGGTGCCAGAAGGGCAGTTTGAGTATTCAGAAATTTCTGACTTTCTTTTATTTCATGCACAACATTTCTGTAGAGTTCGCCAAGAAGGGGTTGAAAAACACATAGCATCTGTAAGTGGGAGTTCCCTGGGCAAACTCGCCTTGTTAATGAGAGATTTTTAAAGGAAAATGGCCAGACCGGTTCCAGGAACTCATATAACAACGGGTTAAAACTGTGGTATGCAGAACAGCATCTCAGTACACACAACACGTTGAACCTCAAATGGTAGGGGTACAGCAAAGACCAAACCGGTTCTCAGTCTGTCACCAAAGGAAAGTAATCTGATTCTACTTTAGGTACGGGTTCATCAAAACTGGTCAATTGAAGATTGGAAAACCGTCTGGTTTGACGAATCGCAATTTCTGCTGCAGGATAACTATGGTAAGGTCAGAATTTGCGTTTGATTTGTGTGGAACTTGCACAGGAGATTTATCAGAGCTTATTAGGGTAGCATGAAAGTGAGTTGGGCAAATATTGTTAGTGGGATGGATTTCTGAAGGACCTGACAAGTATGGGCCAATGGGCCTATTGTAGTGTTCCTCCATTCTTATGTTTAAAACCTATTCACAAATAACCCGCACATAAAAAGAGAAGCTTACGACGACGTTTTTGGTCCGACTTTAGACCATTTACAAAGTCACACTTTGTAAATGGTCCAAGTCGGACCGAAACGTCGTCGTAAGCTTCTCTCTTTTAGTGCGGGTTATTTGTGTATAGTTCCAGTCACGGTATTGTGCCTTTTTTTATTTAAAACCTATTACTTGATGAATAAGACACTCGGCAGCACCTGAATATCTTTCTTGGGGGGTCTGAGGTAATCAGTCCCTCGGTCTAGAGTTGATGTTTTTCACTCCGTCCACCTTTCTTCTCCATACTGGACTGATGAAGCCACTGGGTGACGAAATATTTTCACAATAAAGATACCCAAGTGTTGTCCAAGTGTCACAGTCATCAAAATTTATGAATGACATATCAGTCAAAGAGGAATTCTGCCAATACAGTTTATAATACTCACAAATTCTATTCATTATAAATGAATCTGACTTATAAAATTCTGGACTTATTTTTACGTTGCATTTAGCGCTGCCTTTTATAAAACTCGATTTCTTTATGTATCGTTCGGACATGAATTTGCTTCATTCATTTTTCTAGGCCTTTTCAAAATCAATAGGGTGGTTAAAAATCTCACATATATAAAAAGAGTATTAGACTTTTCTTCAGTTATAATGTTGCATTTGTTGTTGAAATATTTGTTCGAGACTTTTTCCAGTTTTCCCAAGATAAAATTTATTGCATTTTATACACGGGATCTTATAGATTCAGCCATTAGTATTTTTTTTTTTTGGAGGGGGGGGGGAATCTAATCAAATTATTTTTTATTAAATCGAGATTTTTTTTAATGCCACTTTAATTTTTAGGTTCTTAAATAGAGAAAATATAACAATAAAGTTTTCATGATATACAAGAACCAAAATATTCTTGGTTGAATATTGTTCTTTTTATTTCTAGAATTGTAAAATTTTATTTCTTGGGTGCAAAGGTGCTAAACTCTTAAGAAATATGAAAATTATTTATTTATTACTTATTTATTATTTATTTATTAACACATCGGCCGTTTCCCACCAAGGCAGGGCGGCCCGAAAAAGAAAAACTTTCATCATCATTCTCTCCATCACTGTCTTGTCAGAGGCGCGCTTACACTACAGTTATAAATCTGCAACATTAATTAACATCATCCTTTAGAGTGCAGACACTGTACTTCCCATCTCCAGGACTCAAGTTCAGGCTGTCGGCTTCCCTGAACCCTTCATAAATGTTACCTTGCTTACACTCCAACAGCACGTTAAGGGAGGGGAACACAGAACAATTAGCCACACTGCCTCTCACCAACACTGCCTCTCACCAACACTGCCTCTCACCAACACTGCCTCTCATCAACACTGCCTCTCACCAACACTGCCTCTCACCAACACTGCCTCTCACCAACACTGCCTCTCACCACACTGCCTCTCACCAACACTGCCTCTCACCAACACTGCCTCTCACCAACACTGCCTCTCACCCACACACCGCCTTTCACAAACACTGCCTCTCACCAACACTGCCTCTCATCAACACTGCCTCTCACCAACACACGGCCTCTCACCAACACTGCCCTCTCACCAACACTGCCTCTCACCAACACTGCCTCTCACCAACACTGCCTCTCACCAACACTGCCTCTCACCAACACTGCCTCTCACCAACACTGCCTCTAGATCAACAACACTGCCTCTCACCAACATTGCCTCTCACCAACACTGCCTCTCACCAACACTGCCTCTCACCAACACTGCCTCTCACCAACACTGCCTCTCACCAACACTGCCTCTCACCAACACTGCCTCTCACCAACACTGCCTCTCACCAACACTGCCTCTAACCAACACTGCATCTCACCAACACTGCCTTTCACCAACACTGCCTCTCACCAACACTGCCTCTAGGATAAACAACACTGCCTCTACGATTAACAACACTGCTTCTAGGATCAACAACACTGACTGTAGGATCAACAACACTGCTTCTAGGATCAACAACACTGCTTCTAGGATCAACAACACTGCCTCTAGGATAAACAACACTGCTTCTAGGATCAACAACACTGCCTCTAGGATCAACAACACTGCTTCTAGGAGTAACAACACTGCCTCTAGGATCAACAACACTGCCTCTAGGATCAACAACACTGCCTCTAGGATCAACAACACTGACTCTAGGATCAACAACACTGCCTCTAGGATAAACAACACTGCCTCTAGGATCAACAACACTGCCTCTAGGATCAACAACACTGCCTCTAGGATCAACAACACTGCCTCTAGGATCAACAACACTGCCTCAAGGATCAACAACACTGACTCTAGGATCAACAACACTGCCTCTAGGATCAACAACACTGCTTCTAGGATCAACAACACTGCTTCTAGGATCAACAACACTGCCTCTAGGATAAACAACACTGCTTCTAGGATCAACAACACTGCCTCTAGGATCAACAACACTGCTTCTAGGAGTAACAACACTGCCTCTAGGATCAACAACACTGCCTCTAGGATCAACAACACTGCCTCTAGGATCAACAACACTGACTCTAGGATCAACAACACTGCCTCTAGGATCAACAACACTGCCTCAAGGATCAACAACACTGACTCTAGGATCAACAACACTGCCTCTAGGATCAACAACACTGACTCTAGGATCAACAACACTGCCTCTAGGATTAACAACACTGCCTCTAAGATCAACAACAATGCCTCTAGGATCAACAACACTGTCTCTAGGATCAACAACACTGCCTCAAGGATCAACAACACTGACTCTAGGATCAACAACACTGCCTCTAGGATCAACAACACTGACTCTAGGATCAACAACACTGACTCTAGGACCATCAACACTGCCTCTAGGATCAACAACACGGCTACTAGGATCAACAACACTGCCTCTAGGATGAACAACACTGCCTCTAGGATCAACAACACTGCTTCTAGGATCAACAACACTGCCTCTAGGATCAACAACACTGACTCTAGGATCAACAACACTGCCTCTAGGATCAACAACACTGCCTCTAGGATCAACAACACTGCCTCTAGGATCAACAACACTGCCTCTAGGATCAACAACACTGCCTCTAGGATCAACAACACTGCCTCTAGGATCAACAACACTGCTTCTAGGATCAACAACACTGCCTCTATGATAAACAACATTGCCTCTAGGATCAACAACACTGCCTATAAGGATCAACAACACTGCTTCTAGGATCAACAACACTGCCTCTAGGATCAACAACACTGACTCTAGGATCAACACCACTGCCTCTAGGATCAACAACACTGCCTCTAGGATTAACAACACTGCCTCTAGGATCAACAACACTGCTTCTATGATCAACAACATTGCCTCTAGGATCAACAACACTGCCTCTAGGATCCACAACACTGCTTCTAGGATCAACAACACTGCCTCTATGATCAACAACATTGCCTCTAGGATCAACAACACTGCCTATAAGGATCAACAACACTGCCTCTAGGATCAACAACACTGCTTCTAGGATCAACAACACTGCCTCTAGGATCAACAACACTGCCTCTATGATCAACAACATTGCCTCTAGGATCAACAACAGTGCCTATAAGGATCAACAACACTGCCTCTAGGATCAACTACACTGCTTCTAGGATCAACAACACTGCCTCTAGGATCAACAACATTGACTCTAGGATCAACAACACTGCCTCTAGGATCAACAACACTGCCTCTAGGATCAACAACATTGACTCTAGGATCAACAACACTGACTCTAGGATCAACAACACTGCCTCTAGGATCAACAACATTGAGTCTAGGATCAACAACACTGCCTCTAGGATCAACAACACTGACTCTAGGATCAACAACGCTGCCTCTAGAATCAACAACACTGCCTCTAGGATCAACAACACTGCCTCTAGGATCAACAACACTGACTCTAGGATCAACAACACTGCCTCTAGGATCAACAACACTGCCTCTAGGATCAACAACACTGACTCTAGGATCAACAACACTGCTTCTAGGATCAACAACACTGCCTCTAGGATCAACAACACTGACT